GCTCTCTTCTGTATTTTGACGGTGAGTTCCCATTGTAGGAAATTATTTTTAGTAGCATGTTGCTGGTCTTTGCTGATAGACTCCATCATGCCATCGATGGCGGGTTCGCCCATGAGCACACTCATACGGCCGACTACCTCCCATTTCAAGTCACTCAGATGGGAGTAACCTTCACGTGTGACGTGAAAGCTGTCGGCTTCTACGTCCAACATGTTCATGTTGGATGGGCACTAAGTAGTCGTTGGAAGGACTACAACGTGCTACCAGGTGTAACGGGGCACCCTTTGCTTGGGCGCCACGAAACTTCACGTTCACTAGTACGTGCAGAGGAATGTAATCTACTTAACGACTAAGCTGAGTAAAGGGTAAAAGAGAACTGTATTTAATATAGTGAAGCAATCAATATAACTTCAGTCTTTATCTAAATATGTTAAACTACGTCGTCATATGACGACAACCTGCTCACCACTCATTGCGCACGTCTAGCAGCAATTGGTGGTAATCTATGGGTGATATGTCATTTATCAACCAATCGTTGAGCAGCGCATGAATACAATCCTGGAAGGGAAACATATTCCTTCAATATAATCCATCTCGGATAAAATTGGTAGGGAATTATCATGCTGGACAATAGTCTTATTGACACTCAAGATCCGCTGTCGGAAGTGGTCTCTCTCACGCGGTTAGGGAGCCAAGGGAGCCAAGTAAAGGCCAGGATTTTAACACCCCTGAAACAACAACAAGGAAAGCCCAGTAAAAGACAAGCTACTTGAAGAACTTGGTTGTAATTACAATCCCGACAAGTCGATCGAGTGGCCACCTACCGGCCGAACCAGTGGAGCAAATAATCACTTGAGGCCCAGGTCTACTTCTGCCAAGATCTAAGAATCTTCCCCCACATCTGAGTCGCCCGAATTGTGCGACCATCAAGCCAAACGGTACACAAGGTGAGTCATCTTCGTACGCAGAATCGGGAAAACCCCCCGTAAGTCGGTAGTCCGGCGCAGAGATTGTTTTGCGAGCTTAAAGCGCAAATCAGAAGATTCCTTCCACTGTAACGGGGTGAATCGTTACATAACAATTTATAAGAAATTGTTAATAGAATATAACTATGAGAGTTATATTCTCAGAATATTGTCATAAGGACAAATATTCTGTAGCACTTACGAGTAGTTCCTAATTGGTTAATGTAGGCCATTATATCAACTAACGAAGACGCGCCACGACAGACGCACGCAATGAGTGGTGAACAGATAGTTGATATGCACATTTGTATTCGGACACAGTTAGATAAATAGTGATTTAATGCAGACATTAACTATTATAAATACAGTTCTACTTTTTACTTTAACCAAGTACTTGCTTCTTCTTACCGTCTTCCTCTGCACGTACGAGTGTACTTGAAGTTCCGAGGCACCGCCTTCTTCTGTCATCAGAATAAGTAGCTTGTACTGTCACCAGTACAAGCTTCAGGGTGCCCCGTTACACCTGGTAGCACTTCGTAGTCCGTCCAAGGACCACGTTCACATCCAACACGAATGTGTTGGATGATGAAGATGACCAAAGCTTTCACGCTACGCGTGACGGCTACTCCCATTTGAGCGATGTCGAATGGGATGCGGTTGAACGGATGGGTTCAACCATGGGCATCCATGCTGTTAGCGTCATGCTAGAGGCTCTCAATAGAGATGCCCAACATGCTACTATCGACAAGTTCACTCAAAATGAACTTGACGCTGAACGCGAGAAAGTATCCTTGCTTCACCAACAGGTTCTCAACAAGCGGAGTTGTTGAGATAACAAGGTGATCAACAGTTTGAACTGTTGAGACAGCAGCAGGCTGCTGCCGGTGGGTCGATGCACTCGCGTCGACCCGAGACCTTGAAGATTGACATCTCCAAGTATAGGAGAGTCGAAGAGGACTCCCTCTTGAGATGGTTCGTCGAACTGGATGACGCCATAATGGCGCGTCGCATCAACGACGGGGATATGCAAGTTGCATTTGCCCAGTCAAATCTAGCAGGACGTGCCAAGACTTGGGCACTATGACTCAAGTTGCACGACCCATATGCATTTGGGTCGTTGGAAGTCTTCAAGTCGCGGCTCAGACAAACGTTTGAACCACCTAGAGCTGAGTTCAGAGCTCGAACTAAACTCTTGAAGCTCAAGCAAGGTAAGCGTGATGTGCACGCTTACGCGCAACATATACGACATCTCACGAGTTGTATAAGTTCCAATCCGGTGGATGAACTCACGTTGGTTTCGGTGTTCATGCAGGGTCTTGCGGATGGTCCCGTCAAGACTCACCTGTTCCAACTTGAACTAGATTCACTAGAACAAGCCATTTCCATTGCGGAACAGGAAGACTTCAGTCTGAGACAAGCTCGCGCCAGCTCGACATCATATCGTCAACCGAGACGATATGACAACGGAGGTCCAGAGCCGATGGAACTCTGTTATGTAGAGAGCGAGAAGGCTCGCTCTACAGACTACAAGAAGTTGCAGAGATGCAACAGATGTTAGAAGACAGGACACTACGCTTACGAGTGTAGTGCCCCTCGTCCAGTGTCTCGCAACACTGGGCGTAGTGACCGTCCACCCATGAGAAAGGGGCAGGGACGAGGGTCCGCCGTTGGTGCAAAGACGCAACAACGGGATGGACCGTAAAAAAACGGACAGGATCAGTAGGTGCGGAGAACCCTACTGGTCCAGCAACGTCAAGAGAATTTGTAGGTCTCTTGATGAAGGTTGCTCCCAACACACAAACATTGTGCGCTGCTGCTCTAGGTAATGAGATCTCACTCATTACCTTGAAACTCGAAGTGACGAATAAGTTGTCCCTTCGAGCTCTAGTCGATTGTGGGGCGTCCGACAATTTTGTGCAACGCCAATCACTAGAAGATGGTCACTTCAAGTTCAGTGAATGTGACACACCTCCAACAAGGATGATGGTACGTCTTGCGACAGGCGCATCCGTAACCGTCATGAAGCGTATAGTGAAGATCCACTATACGCTAGAAGATACCCAATATGACGATGACTTTATCGTATTGGATTTGGATGACAAATTTGATGTCATCCTTGGAATACCGTGGCTCAGAAGGTGCGAGCCACGGGTAAACTGGCAACATCGAACAGTAACGATGCCTGCCGCTTGTTCATCAGATGGCCATCTGATGAGCGTTTCGGAGCGTCCACAAGCGTGTGGCTGTACTACGAGTAAGCGCGATGGCCTCACTTGTGGTACGGTCGTTAGTACGACTGCACGAAACCTAAGTGTAACAAACGGTTACACTTCGGAGCAAATTTCCGGCGGCTGTGAGGAAACACAGGCTGCGCCGAAGGTCCACCACTCGAACAAGTCGAGTGGACCGGGATAAAGATGTATCCCTAGCGGGGAACATCTAGAAGAGATACAATCGATCGCTCAGGTTAAGTGAAACGATAATCCTAGATCGACTGGAGAGTCTGTCGTAGAGGATCTCGCTGTGGTTGCGCCACCCCAGCTAGAGGAAGTAAAGGGAATAAGTCCCAAGATTACAAATACGGCGGAAATAAGTTCCCCGAAACCCGCGGGAATAAGTCCCCGGGAAGCCGAAGGAATAAGTCCTTCGAGGCCTGAGGGAATAAGTCCCCAGGAAATGACAGAGAAATTGAATGTCATAGTCAATAACGGATCAAGTGTAGGCGCTTATACACTTGATCTGATTGCGCCTCCGAAGTTGACTTCGGAGATCACTCAGTTGCCAACGCTCGAGTACAAAAGGTTCTTGCGTGATCTTCTTAGTAGCAAAGTCAAGCAGATCTGCGTACTCGTCGCTGACGGCTATCAGCCGCGTCATCTGCACCCAGCTGAGCGGAATTATCCAGTGCATGACAAGAAACTCCTTGCCATGAAGTATGCACTCGCGAAGTTCAGAGTCTATCTATTAGGAGATAGACCCTTCATTGTTTACACAGAACATGCGTCGTTACGCACGGCAGTAAACAGCCCGCACCTTTCACAACGAATGGCGCGGTGGTTGTCATTCTTTGCAGAATACATCTTTACGGTCGAGTACAAACCAGGACGACTTAATGTCGTCGCTGATGCACTCTGACGTCGGCCCGACTTTGAACCAGTCGTAAAACCCAACAGTGAGACAGCCAATGTTGCGGTTGTGACATCCTCAGTCCCATCTTCAACGTTGCATGATGGTGTGAAGCGGGTGTATGCCCAAGATGCTGAGATTGTGAAATTGTTGACACATCTCTCTCAACCATCTCGAGAATCGTTGAAACAGTTATCGTCTGCATATCGATCTACATCAGATCGATACACTACTCGAAACGGGTTACTGTATTATACAGCCGTTTCTGGTGACACACCACGTGTTGTCATTCCAGATGATACTGATCTGCGTTTGCGGATCATGTTCGAAAATCACGGTACTCCGATAGGAGGACATCGTGGCCGCGAGAAAACATATCGCACGGTGAGTCGAGCCTTTTACTGGCCCCGCCAGTATCAGTTTGTGCGAAAGTATGTTCACGCCTGCAAAGTCTGTCAACGAGTGAAGTCAAGTCCTTCACTGCGTGCACATTTGCAGCCTTTACCAGTTCTGGCAGAGTGCTGGGAATCCACCTCAATAGATTTTTTCTTCGGGTTACCCAAAGACGCACGCAAGAATACGGGTATTCTTGTATTTGTTGACAGATTCAGCAAAATGGTACATCTTGTGGCTGTACGGGAGTCAATCACGGCAAGTGGCTGTGCTTATGTCTTTTTTGACACCATCTTCCGACTTCATGGGTTGTCCTGTGAACTCGTATCAGACAGAGATCCACGATTCACTGCTGAATTCTGGCGCTCCGTGTTCAAATCACTCGGAACGCACTTGAAGATGTCGATATCTGATCATCCAGAGTCAGATGGTCAGACGGAACGTGCCAATCGTGTCCTCGAAGAGATACGTCGAGGATACGTACACTCCTTTTATAGTTGGATTGAGTTCTTGACAATGGTAGAGTTTGCCATTAACAACTCGGTGCATGCGTCCACGACACAAACACCGTTTTACGTGAATGGCTTGCGCCATCCGCGTGTACCCACCTTACTCGAGTGTAACTCTGGTTTAAGGGAGGGAGAGACTCGCGCGAGCAAAAACCGATTTGGTTCACGCTCATCACGCTCTGACGAAGAGGTCATTGCGTTCGATGCCGATATCGACAACATCGATATCGAAGAAGATGATGCCAGTGAGAGTGCGGAAGCCCTCACTGAAGAAAAGGTTGATGTTGCTGCAGTGCACTCACAGCGCACTGAAGCTAACGAGTCATCAGATGAGTTCATACTGGCTCGTGAAACGGTAGTCCGTTTTGTGCAAGACTCCATCGCCGAAGCGGTGGATAAGCAAAAGCAAAACGCTGACAAGAATGGAAGGGTAAACACTCTTTTATTTAATAAAGGTGACTTAGTCCTACTGTCTACGGTTAATCTACCAAAGCATGTAGTGACTAACTTGGGTAGCAGTAAACTACTACCCAAGTACATCGGCCCATTTCGTGTATTGCACCGCCTAGGAAATGCATACACGATCGAGTTGCCACGTAAGATGCGAACGCATCCCACGTTTTACGTTGGTCAGCTTAAGCCGTACCATCAGTACGCTGCTTCTTCCGATGAAGAACGCCCTTGCGCTCAAGCATCTCTCAGAGAGCCTTGTGCTCCCGATGATGGGCATCGACAAGGGTCTGGAGAGTAGTTATCTCATCCCGAGACCGATCAACAATCCCACGAGCTACCCTTAGCTCGTCACGAAGAGATGTCAGAGCTCTCTCGTTCTCAAGCTGAGCAAAGGCAAAATCAGCTCGATTCTTCGAGACAGCGTCCGCCAGTTGGAGACGCCTGTCCCGCTCATGTTCGAGATCGCCGCGTAACCCTTGCGTTACGCGATCAAAGAAGCTCTCCGGAACACACGCATCCCCACGATCGTGTGGAGAGCGTCTTCCCTCCTCATCCACCTCCATTAGAGGACTCTCGCGGTGGCCAGCGCTATCTAGTTGAGCAGCTGTTGAACCACCGCGACGTGAACGGACGTCGGACGATTTCTCTCGTCCGGTGGCACGGCTATCCCCCGTGCTGGGATACTTGGGAGCCCCGCTCCCAACTGATGATTGACGTACTGGGTCTGGTTGAGCAGTACGACGCGGCACATCCTGTGCCGCAGAAGGACCGCTGGAGAAAGTCTTCCCGGCACGGTCGTAAAGAGATTTCAGGTTGTCAATCCCTTCGTACATCTCACTAGAGATACGAGATACACGCGCCACCACGGGCTAGTAAGGAGGTAAGCCTCCTTAGGTGCTCGTGCAGAGTTGTTCACACAACATGGGCACGAGTCTCCCCAAGATAGGCAGGGTAATCCCTTCTCCCTTGACAGACGATGCAGCTTGTAGCGTGCACCTGTCGGGGTTCGCTTTTCAAACTTATCACGAGCTTTGATAAGTTTGTCGTTCCAAGCGTCACGACCTACATCCTCAAGGACATGGATGTAAGCGTTCCACGCTTGAAGCAGTGAGGGACCATCACGCTTGTGATTCCCACTGTACCGTCGATGTTTAAAGAAAGCATCGATGAAGAAATCGTTCTCAGCGCGATAGTTTTTCGCACTGGGGTCAAGGTGATGGATCCTTGACGAATCGAACAACCGTGTTCGATAACGATCACTCGTCGTCGCCGACAAGTGATCCATGACGGATTTAGGAGGCATCCATGCCTTCTTCTCGGGAGCGAGACGCAAGACATTGCGGTCCCGCTCTTCCTGCGACGTGCCGACAGAAGTACTGGCACCTCGTTGCGAAGTGGTGTCAATAGGAGAACCGACACCACTGTTAGCGCCCAAGTCTTGCGATCTCGAACGCCTTCGCTATGGCTATGGTTCGTCTGATTCTTCAGACGAACCAAAGATACTACGACGCGTAGCATCATCCATGCCACGCTTGGCAGGCGGCTTGGATTCGATCACCGTCGATACGGATCCTTCTTCCGTATCAGGAGAGTATGAGACTCCGAGCTCATACTCTGTGAAGACATGAGTGTCTTCACGACGAGCGCCTGCATCACCATGAGACACAGGCTGAGTCGCTTCAGCAACCGATGAGACATCAGTTGCTGCAGTTTCTGCTTCGGCGGCCTTGCTCGCGCATCGCATGGGCTTGTTAACCATGCGATGAACTGTTGGAAAGTGGACTCGGACCAACAAGTGCAAACCCTGTCCCAAATGATTTGAGACGAGTATCCATTTAGTCAATCAGTCACTAAAGTGACTGATGGTTAAGGGGGGAGGGTGATGTAACGGGGTGAATCGTTACATAACAATTTATATGAAATTGTTAATAGAATATAACTATGAGAGTTATATTCTCAGAATATTGTCATAAGGACAAATATTCTGTAGCACTTACGAGTAGTTCCTAATTGGTTAATGTAGGCCATTACATCAACCAACGAAGACGCGCCACGACAGACGCACGCAATGAGTGGTGAGCAGATAGTTGATCTACACATTTGCATTAAGACACAGTTAGATGAAGATAAATAGTGATTTCATGCAGACATTAACTATTATAAATACAGTTCTACTTTTTACTTTAGCCAAGTACTCGCTTCTTCTTACCGTCTTCCTCTGCACGTACGAGTGTACTTGAAGTTCCGAGGCACCGCCTTATTCTGTCATCAGAATAAGTAGCTTGTACTGTCACCAGTACAAGCTTCAGGGTGCCCCGTTACATCACGCATGTCTCGCTCACGCATCGCACGTCGCGTCGAATAGCTAAGTGCACTTGTAACGGGGCACCCTAAAGCTTGTACTGGTGACAGTACAAGCTACTTATTCTGATGACAGAATAAGGCGGTGCCTCGGAACTTCAAGTACACTCGTACGTGCAGAGGAAGACGGTAAGAAGAAGCGAGTTCTTGGCTAAAGTAAAAAGTAGAACTGTATTTATAATAGTTAATGTCTGCATTAAATCACTATTTATCTTCATCTAACCATGTCTTAATACAAATGTGCATATCAACTATCTGTTCACCACTCATTGCGTGCGTCTGTATGGAAATCATCGTTGGTTGATGTAATGGCCTACATTAACCAATTAGGAACTACTCGTAAGTGCTACAGAATATTTGTCCTTATGACAATATTCTGAGAACATAACTCTCATAGTTATATTCTATTAACAATTTCTTATAAATTGTTATGTAACGATTCATCCCGTTACATCACCCTCCCCCCTTAACCATCAGTCACTTTAGTGACTGATTGACTAAATGGATACTCGCCTTAAATCGTTTGGGACAGGGTTTGCACTTGTTGGTCCGAGTCCACTTTCCAACATCTCATCGCATGGTTCACAAGCCCATGCGATGCGCGAGAAGGCCGCCGAGCAGTCTGCACGTCTCTGTGCGGACGCCGAAGCAGAAACCACAGCAACTGATGTCCCATCGGTTGCTGAAGCGACCCAGCCTGTGTCACTTGGTGACGCAGGCGCTGGTCATGAAGACACTCATGTCTTCACAGAGTATGAGCTCGGAGTCTCATACTCTCCTGATACGGAAGAAGGATCCGTATCGACGGTGATCGAATCCAAGCCGCCTGCCAAGCGTGGCATGGATGATGCTACGCGTCGTAGTATCTGTGGTTCGTCTGACGAATCAGACAAACCATCGCCAAAGCGAAGGCGTTCGAGATCGCAAGACTCGGGCGCTAATAGTGGTGTCGGTTCTCCTATTGACACCACTTCGCAACGAGGTGCCAGGTCTTCTGTCGGCACGTCGCAGGAGAGCGGGACCGCAATGTCTTGCGTCTCGCTCCCGAGAAGAAGGCATGGATGCCTCCTAAATCCGTCATGGATCACTTGTCGGCGACGACGAGTGATCGTTATCGAACACGGTTGTTCGATTCGTCAAGGATCCATCACCTTGACCCCAGTGCGAAAAACTATCGCGCTGAGAATGAATTCTCCATCGATGCTTTCTTTAGACATCGATGGTACAGTGGGAATCACAAGCGTGATGTCCCTCACTGCTTCAAGCGTGGAACGCTTACATCCATGTCCTTGAGGATGTAGGTCGTGACGCTGGAACGACAAACTTATCAGAAGCTCGTGATAAGTTTGAAAAGGAACCCCGACAGGTGCACGCTACAAGCTGCGTCATGGGAGAAGGGATTACCCTGCCTATCTTGGGGAGACTCGTGCCCATGTTGTGTGAACAACTCTGCACGAGCACCTAAGGAGGCTTACACGGTGGCGCGTTTCGTATCTCGTAGTGAGATGTACGAAGGGATTGACAACCTGAAATCTCTTTACGACCGTGCCGGGAAGACTTTCTCCAGCGATCCTTCTGCGGCACAGGATGTGCCGCGTCGTACTGCTCAACCAGACCCAGTACGTCAATCATCAGTTGGGAGCGGGGCTCCCAAGTATCCCAGGACGGGGGATAGCCGCGCCACCGGACGAGAGAAATCGTCCGACGTCCGTTCACGTCGCGGTGGTTCAACAGCTGCTCAACTAGATAGCGCTGGCCACCGCGAGAGTCCTCTAATGGAGGTGGATGAGGAGGGAAGACGCTCTCCACACGATCGTGGGGATGCGTGTGTTCCGGAGAGCTTCTTTGATCGCGTAACGCAAGGGTTACGCGGCGATCTCGGGCATGAGCGGGACAGGCGTCTCCAAATGGCGGACGCTGTCTTGAAGCATCGAGCTGAGTTTGTCTTTGCTCAGCTTGAGAACGAGAGATCTCTGACATCTCTTCGTGACGAGCTAAGGGTAGCTCGTGGGATTGTTGATCGGTCTCGGGATGAGATAACTGCTCTCCAGACCCTTGTCGATGCCCATCATCGGGAGCACAAGGCTCTCTGAGAGATGCTTGAGCGCAAGGGCGTTCTTCATCGGAAGAAGCAGCGTACTGATGGTACGTCTTAAGCCGACCAACGTCAAACGTGGGATGCGTTCGCATCTTACGTGGTAACTCGATCGTGTATGCATTTCCTAGGCGGTGCAATACACGAAATGGGCCGATGTACTTGGGTAGTAGTTTACTGCTACCCAAGTTAGTCACTACATGCTTTGGTAGATTAACCGTAGACAGTAGGACTAAGTCACCTTTATTAAATAAAAGAGTGTTTACCCTTCCATTCTTGTCAGCGTTTTGCTTTTGCTTATCCACCGCTTCGGCGATGGAATCTTGCACAAAACGGACTACCGTTTCACGAGCCAGTATGAACTCATCTGATGACTCGTTAGCTTCAGTGCGCTGTGAGTGCACTGCAGCAACACCAACCTTTTCTTCAGTGAGGGCTTCCGCACTCTCACTGGCATCATCTTCTTCGATATCGATGTTGTCGATATCGGCATCAAACGCAATGACCTCTTCGTCAGAGCGTGATGAGCGTGAACCAAATCGGTTTTTGCTCGCGCGAGTCCCTCCCCCCCTTAAACCAGAGTTACACTCGAGTAAGGTGGGTACACGCAGATGGCGCAAGCCATTCACGTAAAACGGTGTTTGTGTCGTGGACGCATGCACCGAGTTGTTAATGGCAAACTCTACCATTGTCAAGAACTCAATCCAACTATAAAGGAGTGTACGTATCCTCGACGTATCTCTTCGAGGACACGATTGGCACGTTCCGTCTGACCATCTGACTCTGTATGATCAGATATCGACATCTTCAAGCGCGTTCCGAGTGATTTGAACACGGAGCGCCAGAATTCAGCAGTGAATCGTGGATCTCTGTCTGATACGAGTTCACGGGACAACCCATGAAGTCGGAAGATGGTGTCGATAAAGACATAAGCACAGCCACTTACCGTGATTGACTCCCGTACAGCCACAAGGTGTACCATTTTGCTGAATCTGTCAACAAATACAAGAATACCCGTATTCTTGCGTGCGTCTTTGGGTAACCCGAAGAAAAATCTATTGAGGTGGATTCCCAGCACTCTGCCAGAACTGGTAAAGGCTGCAAAGGTGCACGCAGTGAAGGACTTGACTTCACTCGTTGACAGACTTCGCATGCGCGAACATACTTTCGCACAAACTGATACTGGCGGGGCCAGTAAAAGTCTCGACTCACCGTGAGATATGTTTTCTCGCGGCCACGATGTCCTCCTATAGGAGCATCGTGATTTTCGAACATGATCCGCAAACGCAGATCAGTATCATCAGGGATGACAACACGTGGTGTGACACCAGAAACGGCTGTATAATACAGTAACCCGTTTCGAGTAGTGTATCGATCTGATGTAGATTGATACGCAGACGATAACGGTTTCAACGATTCTCGAGATGGTTGGGAGAGATGTGACAACAACTTCACTATCTCACCATCTTGGGCGTATGCTCGCCTCACATCATCATACAACGTTGTAGATGGGACTGAGGACGTCATAACCGCAACATTGGCTGTCTCACTGTTGGGTTTTACGACTGGTTCATAGTCGGGACGACGTGAGAGTGCATCAGCGACGACATAAAGTCGTCCTGGTTTGTATTCGACCGTAAAGTTGTATTCTGCAAAGAATGACAACCACCGCGCCATTCGTTGTGAAAGGTGCGGGCTGTTCACTGCCGTGCGTAATGACGCATGGTCAGTGTAAACAATGAAGGGTCTATCTCCTAATAGATAGACTCTGAACTTCGCGAGTGCATACTTCATGGCAAGGGGTTCCTTGTCATGCACTGGATAGTTCCCCTCAGCTAGTTGCAGCTGACGCGACTGATAGCAGACGACGCGTTCAACGCCTTCAAGATCGTACTGCATTAATGCACAGCCGATTGCGAAATCGCTGGCATCACAGACCACATGAAATGGCCTGTCCTGATCGGCTATTGCTAGGACTGGGGATTGCATCAAGCTCTGCTTGATACCGTTAAAGGAGCGATGACATTCAGCGTTCCATAACCACCTCTCGTTCTTTTTCAACAAACGAGAGAGGTGCACAGTCATCTCGGCGTAATTGCGTGAATACTTGTGCAAATACGCCGCTAGCCTAAGGAATTTTCGAAGACCTTTGACATCAACCGGCACAGGCCAGTTGGTGATCGCCTTGATCTTTTCGGGATCAGGACGTACACCGTTCTTACCAACGATGCACCCAAGAAGTGGTATTTCTCTTGCTGCAAATATACACTTCTTGAGATTTGCTTACAATTGATGCTTTCGCATGATTGTAAGAACCTGTCGGACGTGGTATCTGTGAACCTCAACGTCCGACTTTCCATCCATAGCTCGACTATGGATGAATACGTCATCGAAATAACTCGGCGCGAATTCTTGTACTGGTCTCAACAGATGTGTATCACATCTGTTGAACGTGGCAGGGGCATTGCTAAGCCCTTGTGGCATTACTAGCCATTCCCAGACATGCCGCTAGGCGTGCTCACTGCGGTATAGGGTATATCCCGTTCTCGCATAAGGATTTGATAGAAGCCATCCATCAGATCCATGGACGAAAAGATGGTACTCTTTGACATACCATCAATGATTACGTCCTTCCTCGGTATCGGCGTCTGAGACTGTACCGTTGCAGCATTCAACTTGTTAAATGCATGCACAATCCGCTAACCTCCTGTTGCTTTCGCACACAGAAGGTCGGAGAGCTATGTGGGGAAGTTGATTCCCTCACATGGCCCAAAGCTAAACGATCGGCAAAGAACTTGTCGATCGCAAGTACTTTTTCACGAGGCAGTGGCCACTGCTTCATGACACAGTACTTCGAGCCTGGTTTAAGCTCGACATCGTGTCGAGTACCTTTATCCTTCGGTAATTCGCACGGAACAGTTTCAGGGAATACATCCTTGAATTCAACCAAATCTTCATAGAGAGGATTTGTCTTGAGCGATTCCCACGATTGGGAGTCATATCGCTCAATTCGTGTCTTTTCATCTAGGACACTCGTATCGCTCAATTCGTGTCTTTTCATCTAGGACACTCTCGTCCATAGATGAACTACTGAGAACTCTCTCGTTCTCAGTAAACACTGTTGATGACCTTATGTCGGCTACACACTCGTCGTCAGCGACGAGTACGCAGATCTGCTTGACTTTGCCACTACGCAGATCACGCAAGAACCTTTTGTGTTCGAGCATTGGCAACTGAGTGATCTCCGAAGTCAACTTCGGAGGCGATATCAGATCAAGTGTACAAGCGCCTACATTTGATCCGTTATTGACTATGACATTCAATTTCTCTGTCATTTCCTGGGGACTTATTCCCTCAGGCCTCGAAGGACTTATTCCTTCGGCTTCCCGGGGACTTATTCCCTCGGGTTTCGGGGAACTTATTTCCGCCGTATTTGTAATCTTGGGACTTATTCCCTTTACTTCCTCTAGCTGGGGTGGCGCAACCACAGCGAGATCCTCTACGACAGACTCTCCAGTCGATCTAGGATTATCGTTTCACTTAACCTGAGCGATCGATTGTATCTCTTCTAGATGTTCCCCGCTAGGGATACATCTTTATCCCGGTCCACTCGACTTGTTCGAGTGGTGGACCTTCGGCGCAGCCTGTGTTTCCTCACAGCCGCCGGAAATTTGCTCCGAAGTGTAACCGTTTGTTACACTTAGGTTTTGTGCAGTCGTACTAACGACCGTACCACAAGTGAGGCCATCGCGCTTACTCGTAGTACATCCACACGCTTGTGGACTCTCCGAAACGTTCATCAGATGGCCATTTGATGAACAAGCGGCAGGCATCGTTACTGTTCGATGTTGCCAGTTTACCCGTGGCTCGTACCTTCTGAGCCACGGTATTCCAAGGATGACATCAAATTTGTCATCTAAATCCAATACGATAAAGTCATCGTCATATCGGGTATCTTCTAGCGTACAGTGGATCTT